GCTACGTCTCAAGACCCTTTGCCATTCAGTTCCCTGGAAGTGATTGGGCTCCAAGCCTCTGCCTCTCCCTGGCTGGATCAGGGAAATGTGCTCTCTGTAGGGTCCTGCACCCCCTCTCCCCTAGCTGGATGGCCCTTCCTGACCCCAGGGCAGGTTGGAGGGACCAGCACATTTAAAGCATGCAACGAGGGATTCATAACCTCCGGCTGCACGTTAGAATCACCTGGAACTTAAAAAACACCCACTCCAAGACCCCACCCTAGGCTGATGGAATCTGGGGTTGAAATTTGAGAGCTTAAAAATATTGTCAGGTGACTCTAATGTGGAACAGCATTGAAAACCGGTGGTTTATGTTAGTGGCTCTCAAAATGTGGTTCTATACTAGCAGCATCTGCTTCTCCTGGGAACTTGTTAGAAATGCAAATTCTCAGCCTCCACCCCAGACCTACAGAATCAGAAACTCTGGAAGGGGGCCCAGATAGCTGTCTTTAACAAGCCTCTGCTGCCCAATAAAGTTTGAGGACCACTATTAATGCACAAGCAAGCTAGTTTCATGTGACCTGTGAATGTAACTGCAAAAGCACCAATAGAAAAGATGCAGTGGAAAAGATGGGGTAAAAATGATAATCCTTGTATGGGGTGGTAGAATCACAGATGATTTGCTTTCATTTTCCAAATTTTTAGTAGTGTCATTATATTGTTTATATATTCTTTTAAGATACAGAAAGTTCTGGGTTGAGGAGATGCAGTCTTTCAGTGTTTTGTACTGACAGCTGGGGACGAAAGCGTCATGAGGAATGTACCCAGAGGAATGACTCCTGCTGGGACGGTCCCCACTGGGCAGGTTTCACCTGAGGGCCTGTGGCTGCTCTGGGGAGGATTATTCCAGCCCCTCCTCAGCCCAGGTCACTCATCGGAATCACCTGGGGAGGATGTATAACCTCCTGCTGCCTGCGCCCCACAGAGCACTGAGTCAGCAACTCTGGAGGAAGGTCTCAGGCATCAGCACGGGTGGACAGACACACAGACCAGCCTCCCCAGGCGATTCAGATGTACAGTGAGAATGGACAGCCTCTCTCCTCATCTGGAGATTCTGAGGAAACCAGGTAATTTGCAAGCACCCTCAGGGCTGATCCTATGGGAGCTGCGGGAGCGTCCTGAGAGTGCCTCCCCCGACAGGAAGCAGCTAGCAGGGAGTGTGGTGGGCCAGAGCATGCGGGCTGGGGTCAGATGGCTTAGGGGTGAATCCAGACTCGAGTTACCTGCTGCGTGACATTGAACAAGTGACTGTCTCTCTATGCTGCAGTTTTCTCATCTGTAAAATGGGCTTAATAATGCTGCCTACCCCCTAGGGTCGTTGGGAGGATTGAATGAGCTCATACATGTAAAACTCTTAAGATGTGCCTACCATGCCGTAAGCGTCCCGTAAATGTCAGCTGCCGCTGGCCCTTGCTCTCATCCTTGTTGCTGTTGATCTTGCTGGGCTCACCAGGGCCTGGGTTGAGTTGGGTTAAACTGGCTTTGAGTTAGGCAGGGCCTAGGACAAACCAGTGCTTCAGAAATTTCTTCCCCTTATCATTCATGGTCCACAGTCTTTTGTCCTGTTCCCATGTCTTCCACTGGCCATTCCTAGGGGCGTGGAGGTTGAAACCGGTTGTACCCTTAAGTTCAGGTCATTCAAAGACCCCTCTGAGGATCAGTTTTTATTTGCCCCCTCACAGTTAAGGTGGTTTCAGCCTCCTGCATTGGTCAGGCATGACCCTGGGGTATCCCTGTGTGCTGGGTGGGAGCAGCTACTCCCCTGAATGGCTCTACTTTTGTTGCTTTTCACTACAGAATGTTCTGGAAAACCAACCACATTTCTGGGTGGGTGGTGTGTGTGTGTGGTGTGTGTGTGTGTGTGTGGTGTGTGTGTGTGTGTGTGTGTGTGTGTGTATGTGAGGGGTTGTGTTAGGAGAGCCCAGGGGACAGGAGTGGACAGCTTCAGGGTCAGTGGGAAACCAGTTACTACCGCCTTTGCTACTTGCTATAGTTTTACCAGATGCCAGAAAAGGAACCAGACATGCAAGGGGGACACTGACCCTCCTCAGAGGAGCCCCTGTGTCACTGTTGCAGCTGCTCAGATGCTCGTGAAGCCCCCAGGATGCCTATACCTCCTCTGAGGGGTTGAGACGTCCCCGAACCTGGAGGCTGCAGCCCGCCGGGCCTGCCTTGTCTCTGGTCAAGCGTGGAACTGTGGAATTTGCTCCAGTGACCCTGGGAGGCCCGGCCTGCCCTGTGGTTGAGGAGCGCCGGGATTGGTTTGAGGTGCAGTCCCGCACTCGGGGAGATCACGGCCTAGTGGGAAGGGCCCTCAGAACAGGACTGGTGGTTCCCTGAGGGGAACCGAAGTGCTGTGGGTGTGGAGAAGGCAGCCGGGAACATTTCTTCTCTCAGAACTGGAGAAGGGTGTTCTCAGTAAAGAAGCCCTTTCCAGAGAGACGTGGAGACTTGGGACATTGTATTTCAAAACCCTCCAGCGAGGGCCCACCTGGCTATCCAGGTGACCCGAGATCCAAGTCTTCTCCCAGGTCTGTGCCCTTGAAAACACCTCACTTGTCTCCGAGGCCACGGTGCAAGGTGTCAGGGAGGAGAGGCAGCGGTTGGGGTGTCTTCAGGGGCGAGGTTGGGGACAGTTGGAGGGAAGGAAACCCTTGATGGGTGGTGGGCGTTACCTCACTTAAGGGGCTTAGGAGAGTGTCCTGCACAGAATCTCACAGGTGTTACTAGTCAGAGCCGGGATTTGAATGAGGCTTGTCGGGTTCCAGTGCCTCTGGCCTCTCTTTTCTCCACAGAGGGGACTCTGCTGACCTTGGATGAGGAAGCTGCCTCCAGTCCAGGGCCACCTTGTTAGTAATCTATAGTTTCTGAAGTGCCCTCCAGACGTGACCTGGTTTGAACCACATCGGTGTTTCCTTCTCTGGATCTTCTGATTTTTTGGTGTTCACTTGGGCAGACCCTTTCGCCTCCTTGGGCCTCAGCTTCCACACTGTAATATCTGGTTGCTGACAGGGATGTTCCTTGGGGCTCCCCTGACCTGTGGCACCAGCTACTCCTCGGCCTGGGGCCTCCTTCCCAGCCTCTTGTGGCAGCTTCTGCCCTCACGGCCTGCACTTTCCAGATGCTCAGGAGCTCTTGTGTCCCGCCATCCTGTCAGCCCTCCTCACAGCACACACGTCTTTCTCCTCACAAATGCAGTGGGCTTCCCCTTGTTTCAGGATGCTCTAGAAGCCTTGTGAAGGTTACTGGACGAGGACGCGGGACAGGTGGAGCCCGGGGCCAGGCCCAGCGGCGGGGAACCATGCTCTCTGGCTCCAATCTCATCAGCTGTGGACATTTCGTCGGAGGAGTCAAGGTTAAGCGGCCCGCGCTGAGCACAGTTGCCAGCCAAGGCAGGTCACGCTTTCACCTCATCTCAGACATTGCCTTTTTATGAAGGCTTTTTATAGCCCACTTTCTTAGGACAAACTTTTTTCTTAATTAAGAATTCTAATTTTAAAGTGGGCTCTGACCTCTTTCTTTCCAGAATCATTCTGATGCTTTGATTGCATTTCGCGGGTTGAAATTAAGATCCTTTATTGTCTGCTATCTCTGTTTTCCTGCAAGGCTAGTTACCCACGGCAAACTGGCACTTGATCGAGATCATAAATGGGTTTATCCTGCTAGAATATCAATAAAGGCCTTTGGGAAGTTTTATCAAGATGCGAGAAAGGACTCAGGCCGTGTGAGTCCTCTGGGACTCCTCTGGGAGTGTTTCAGCACAGGTGGGGCCGTGCATAGTTAAATGCTGTTTGGAGCTGGGGTGGGAACGTTTCTTCACCGTGAACTTGAGGGAGAAAGCAAAGGCAACATAATGGCTCCTTCAAAAGTTGGAGAATTAGGCGTTTGGCAAGATCAGTTCTCTAGATGGAAACTGATTTACACTGAAGAGGATTATTCTGAGTGCGACCCTCAGTGTCACAGCTCAGGAGCCCGCTTGCAGGGAACGGTCATCTCTATGACCCACCAGCAGGGCTGAGAAGCCCGCTCAGGTGCACAGGAGATGTGCACTCACGTGTGTTCTGCCAGCCACTGGGAACAACCTGGAACACATCAGTGGGAGAATGAGTGAATGATGTGACAATATTTTTTAAAAACTCAATAATATAACGTTGGACCCCCCCAAATGGCCAAACAACATTGTACAGTTTAATACCATTTATGTAAAGTTTGAAGACAAAACGATGTTCATCTATTGTGCGTGGCTACAGACATGTAGTAAAGTGTAATAAAAGGCACAGGAATGACGAATCCCAAATTGAGCGGTTACCTCGGGGTTGAGGGGAAATGAGATCTGGGAGGGGTTCACGAGGAATGGCTACGGTTTCTCTATTTTTTTCTTAAAGTAATTGGTGGTTGTGTACATTTTAAAATGTTCATATTTTTGAATGGCTGAAATACTTTGTAATTTTAAAATTTGTTTCTAAAGGGGGGAGAATGTGTTCTAATGGTTTGTCCATCAGTTTCAGTTTTGAGGAATTACTAACTAGACTTCTCCGGGGCTGATTAGCTTGACTGTTTGCTGCTCTCCCATCTCTTACCCCATCAGATTCACTGTGGCCACTTCACCGTCCCTGACTATCAAACCAGTGGGGAAATAAGAGAAAACTTGAAAGTCCTCACTTTCCTACTTGCTGGTTGGATGAGCAGGGAGTAGAAATTATGCACTAAGGGAAGTCTCCACATTTTGAGCATATTTTGTTCCTTGATCACAGTGCCAATAGCCAAGGTTAACCAAGACAAACTTGAATTCTGGATGAATCCATAAGAATCTCCTGCCAAACTAAACGGGGCAGGGAGGGGGTGGGGGGTGGGGGGTGGCGGGGAGCGCCACTGTGCAAACCTTGCTCTAGGCTCCCCACCCCCAGGGGAAGAATGCGTGACGTCTTGTTCTGAAATCAGTGTGTGCTCTGCATTAACAGCATGGCCGGACCCCCCTGCATCTTGCTGCCAATAAGGGCCATCTTTCTGTGGTCCAGATCTTGCTGAAGGCGGGCTGCGACCTCGATGTTCAGGACGATGTGAGTAGAAGCCATCATTCTATCAGGGCATGGTTGTCAAGGGGGCTTGTCTGCCTGGAATCCCACAACATGTAACTAGCTATGAGGGGAGGGAGAGGGCAGTAGGAGATGCTCTCCAGCACTTTGTAACTTCATCTTGGTGGGAAGAACTTCCTCTTGAAGGTCTGCTGTGGGCCCCATTCTCAGTAGCAAGGTGGAGTTTGGGAGTGTGAGCTGGTCTTTCCATCATGGTTCCTATCTAGTGGTAGTATTCCCTGTCTAGTATTATTCAAGTGCAGAGCCTCGAAGGGCATCTTGTCTGTGTCCTGTCTCAGTATGAAGGAGCACACCACACACACACACACACACACACACACACACACACACACACACACACACACACACATATGGGCAAGGCTTGCTGGAAATGTGTCGTTGACCAAACTTATAACTGGAGAAAAGGTGAGGCTTAAAAACTTAATTTTTTTATTTTCTCACCTTGATTTCTCTTACTCTGTATACATTCAGTTAAAAAGGACCTATTTAAAGAAACAACAGCACACTGATCTCATGGAATCTGAGAAAAAGGAGGCCTCCAGAAAGAGTTCACTCTGGTGCTCTGCCATGATTGAAACTCAGTCTCTGAGTTTCTTTAGTCAAATTATCTAGAAAGAGATTCCAGTTGGCTCTTTTGGAGTCAAGAATCCATTCCTGAGTAAATCAGCAGTGGCTGGCACGGGGTCACCTAGTGCATAGGGTGGCCCTGTTGGGTCTTTGAAGGGGGTGAACTCTCTAAGAAGCGGATGTAGAAAAGATTATGTAAATTGCCGTCCATTGAGCTATTAGGAAAATATCCTAATGATAATTTGATTGGAAGCTATTTTCAGAAACTTTCAATTCTGTTTCTAACTCTAATTTGTATAGTAGGACTCAAAGGAGAAAGGACTTTTGTGAGGAACACAGAATCTTGGAGAGTTAGTATTTATAAACCCCTTCCAGATTCACCTGTAATCTCTCTGGTTACAGAACGTTATCAGATTTCAGACACTCAGGTGGGCTAGGGTGTGGGTTACCATAGTGCTTTGAGTTTTCTTTGAGTCTCTGTGTAATGTCCTAAAACTTGGCAAACACACAAGTTGAGAAGGACAGCATTCACAAAGAAATAACCAAGTATGTCATATACACGGGCAGAAGGCTGTCAGTGTCATTCATAAATTTCTGGTTATATTTGGAACCTATTGAGTCATCAAGGATATTATTTTCAAAAGATGCTGATCTAGCTTTAAGCTGTTGATTTCTACCTTGGGTCACAACACTTCTTTCTTTCCTTGCACTGTAGCCATCATAACATACCTGATTATATCTTATCCTTACATGACAGGAGCAAAAATACAGGGAGAGAGAAGAGATTCTGACCACAGGAAATGCAGGGCATTCAGTGCTTGGTGCAAATATGTTGGACTGGATCTGGTTTTCTCTGCATAATTGAAGCCCTTGCTTGCCACGGTGGCAAGGCTGCAGTACCAGGCATGCTAACCCATCCTGACCCAACACCCCTGTCTCAGGTCCTGAGCTGCGAGTATCACTGTGTTCTCCTGAAGCAAAAGCCATGCTGACTTTCTAGAACTGCTGCTGTTTATATCAGGCAAGATAGGAAGTAAAAAATCAGGAGTCAAGGCAGCCAAAGTGGGGGACATGGCAGCAGAAGGAAAGCCAGCTCTACTTTCAGAGAGGAACTCTTTCACTTATTGAAATCTTTTTTTTTTTTTTTTTTTTTTGGGTGTGCGCG